GTGGGTGTGGGTGTGGGTGGTGTGGGTGGTGTGTGTGTATGTGTGTGTGTGTGTGTGTGTGCGGGGGGGGGGGGCGAGTGTGTGTCTGTGTGTGTGTGTGTGTGTCTGTGTGTGTGTGTCGTGGCTTCGGCCCTTCTCGAGCGGTTCTCTGCAGGGCCAGCTTCGAGGCTGTCTCTTGGGAATGCCCCGTCGAGGCCGCTTCCGCCGTGCTACCAGTAATGCACTCAGAGCGAGCGCGCGCCCAGCTTCTCACTTTGTCAGCCTTTCTGCGCCTGACAGCTGAAGCCGGCTGCCGTCGGGGACCGCGAGGATGCCGCGCAAGTCGCTGCCGAGCAAAGGTGCGTGCATGCGTGATGCACGTGCGTCCACATTCTTGCATGCACCAGCGACGAGCTGGCTTGCGAGTGCTGCATGGCGATCAGGCCCTCCCATCTCCTTCACGCGTGCCCTCTTCCCGCTTCGTCGCCTCGGCATGCGGCCCTCCTCCAGAGACCGCAGAGTCTCAAATGCCACACCTGCGCTTAGGATAGAGTCCCCTTTCCCTTCCTCTTGCCCCTGCCCTCGTCCTCATCGTCATGCTCCTCCTCCTCCTCCTCCTCCTCCTCCTCCTCCTCCTCCTCCTCCTCCTCCTCTCGCGAGGAACTGTCAGCACCAACGCCCTGCAAACGTTCCTGGCAGCAGCGGGCAGCCCACCTCGCCTGCCTCTTTGGGGGCAGAGGAGACTGCATTGGGAAGCCTAGGCTGCGTTCGTAGCGAACATCTCAAGGGTTGCTTGTTGTTGTGTAGTTTAGAAACCTGGCATAATACGAAACATCAGCCCGCTACGGCAAAATGTCGATGGGAGGGGGTTGAGATTCGGGAGGCTCGCGTGACGAGAAGCTCGCGATGCCAGACGGAAGGAGTAGGGGGCGCTTTGATCTTTGTATTTGTTCTGTTCGTTTGTTTGGGCCTCCTGGGGGCTCGTCGCCCCACGGCTAGAGTCGCTTCCACATGTTGGCCAGGACGCTCCCTGGGAACAGCCTGGGGGGTCATCCAGTCGCGCTGCCGCGCGATTCCGCCATCGCGCTCGGGCGGGCGCCTGGGGGAGGGGGGTCGGCGGGCGCGTTGGGGGAAACCATAATCCATGGAACGTCCCTCCCCCGATCTCGTATTTGAGCACATCTTCTGCCTGGGATGCGAGGACGCAGGGACCTTCAGAAGGAGGAGGATGAAGAGGTCGAGGAGGAGGCTGAAGAGAAGGCACGAGGAGGAGCTGCCAGAATCTTCCTGGGCCGCTCCAAGAGAGGGCAACCTCTCCGAAGCCGTCTCCGGGCGGGTCTCTCCCCCCCTGGAAGGTAGGTCGACGGAAAGGTGGGGTCCGCGATCCGCGGGGAAGCCGGCGGAGGCGAGGCGAGGCGGGACGAGGTCGGGCGTCGTCGGCCATGCGCAGGGGGGGTAGGGGGAAGGTTTCTTAGAAGCACCCTGTTTCTTAGAAGGCGCGGGCCCTATCTATAGATGTCAGGCCCGCGCCTTCTAAGAAGCAGCCTCCGTCTTAAAAGCCTTCGCCCCCCCCTACCCACTTGTGCGCGCCGCCAACTCAAGCAGTGGCGAAGCGACCTGGCTCGTCTATAGCCCTACCAAGCAAGGTTCTAAGAACCTTTTGTGGTTCCCACGAATGTTCTTAGAACATCTCTGGCTGGGACTGTCTCGTTTTAACACATCGGGTCTACGTTCTAACAACATTGTTTTTGTTCTTAGAACATTTCCGGGTTCTAAGAAAATTTCGTGGTATGATTATAGGAATGCCGGTTCGGTCGGTCCCTGCTCAACCAACGTCGAGTAAGGGATGGGGGGGGCGATACATTTGAGGGTAAAGAAAGGTGCAGCTTCTGTACATTAGAGGGGCCCTAGAGAGGCCCCTGGGGCCCAAAAGGGGCACGAAAGGTACACGTTTCTCCGCCGTCCCTCCCCGTTGATCGCTCCCCCGTGCATTGACGCCCGACGAAGGTGGCCTTGTTGGCGAAAGCCGGCTGAAGGTTGCGGAAGTGAGTGGGCGGCGCGCAAAAGTGGCAAAAGGGGCGGGGAAGAAGAAAACAACGACTTGCGCTGGATCCCCCTCCCTGGCGCGCGGAGCGCGCCAGGGGCGGCGCCGGAGGCGCCGCCAGGTTTCTTTCTCCGAAGAAGGCGGGGGACTTCGATGGCCTGGCGGAGTCAAAGAAAGCGTCTCCGAAAGGTGGAAGGCTTCCAAGAAGCCCCTTTCCTTCTTAGAAAGCCCCCCCTCTCGCCAACCTCCGCGCCGCCAAGTGAGAGCGAACACCCTCAGAGGTGCGAGGAGGGGGATGGACCGAGGTGCTGGGACAGAGATTTGTGGATGCCCTTGTCCATTTGAAGAATACCATGGGCCTCTAGAGATCTCCTGGGATGGAAACAGGCCGAGGGAGGCACGCGTAAGGCCGACCCTAGGTTAAAACTTGTGTCAGTTGGTCGTCCAGGCCTGGCCATCTTCGCCCAGCTGGTAGGACCCTTCGTATCTGCGAGCAGTGATTCCGTCCGCTCGTTAGCATCAGCGTCATCATTACTATTCTGTGCATGTTTGGCTAGTTTGCCTTGTCAAATTTGTATATACCCCTTCAGTGATCACAAGTTCTTGTGCTGGGGCAATCATAAGCAAGTGTGTGTGTGTGTGTTCTGCCCTCCGAGGCCTCGAGGCGTCCACAGAGAAGGAGACTGGCTGTGTGTCAACTGCAACGAGTACCAATTTAGCAGCCGAGCTGAATGCAGGAGCATCGCTTTGGGTCGGATGTCGAGTGTCCATGAACTTTCGCACTGGCAGCCAGAACGCACACTGTCCACGCGTGTGTGTGGCTGCATGTGCGCATGCATTCGGTTCCGCTCTGGACTTCCTGTCGTACCGGCAGCACTTGCACAGTTCGGTCGACTCAGCATCATATGATGTGCATGTGCAGGCGCCCGTTGTCCATCTGTTTCCAGGGCGCTGTGGCACTGTTCGAACGGCTATCTGTCTTGGCCCTGCTTCTCCCTCGCCCTCCCGCCCCCGCACGGCCTGCATGCCCTCCCAGCGCGGCGAAGCCGGCCTCCGCGCGGCAAGCTCCGTGCGCGCCTCTGTCAGGAGGGAAAGAAACACACAGACACAATTAATCGCCGACTCCCAAGAAAATATAGGAAAATATGGCAATTGGGGGGAAAGACAGAAACCCAGAAAATATATGAAAATATTGGGAAATCCTGTTAGTTGTGTGTGTGTGTATTTATTTGTGTGTCCCAGGGCCCCTTCACTCTGCTCCGCACGAGGGGCCCAGCTGCTTCCTACCCCACGGGCCAGACCTGCCGCGGCGAAGCCTGCCAGGAGACGCGAGCGGCGGTGCTCGAGGAAGAAGGATCGGGGGAGCGTAAGACCCGGGTTTGCCGGGACTCGGGTTCGCCATCGTTTTTTGACGACCGCGCCTCGGATTTTGACGAGGAGGAGTTTCGTGGGATGTCTGCAGCGGGAGGCCTCGTCAAAATGCAGGCTCGGCCTCGTCATTTTTTTGACGACCTCGTCGGGGATTTCCGAGTCCCCCGTACCCGGGTCTTACGTCTCCCCGAAGGGAAGGGCACGAGCAGAAGCCGTTTTGGCGCTCCGCGCAGATCTCTCGGACCCGCGCGGGGCCCCCCCCCCGGCGTCGCCTCTCCAGCGCCGCCCCTCCGGCGCGCTCTCCGCGCGCCGGGGGAGGGGAGGTCCGGCGCAGACCCACGAAGTGCGCGCGCGCGCTGCGCCAACAGCGTATGCTTGCGCCGTTGTTTCTGAGGAGGGGGAAGAACGCACAGACACCATCAATCGTCGATCCCCTGTGGAAAGAGTAGGAGAGAAGTGGGGGGGAAGACAAAAAAAAAACACCCGGGAAGTCCGCCGACCCTGTCGGCGTGTGCGAGGGGCCTTGGCTGTTCGAGTCGTCGTCTCCGTCGGTCGTCGCCTTGCAGCTTCCTTCTCAAGCTCGTGAGCGAGAGAAAAATCTAGCAGTGTCGCAATCGAGTCGAAGGGAAGCCCCTTCCCTTCGATCCCTTCCCCAGGGGGGGGGGTCCGGGGGGGGGGGGTCCCGGGGGGTCCCGGGGGGGGGTCCCGGGGGGGGTGGGGGGGCAGATTCGTTTTCCCTCGGGCGGCCTAGAAACCTCGAAAACACTCCAAATGAGGTCCGAATGCCCAAGATGGCCCCCGAGACGGCCCAAGAGGGCCCCGAGTCGCCCAAAGATCGGCCGAAAACGCCCACGATAGCCCCAAGACCGTCCAAGAAGCCTCCAAGACGTCCCAGGCCCCCTCCAAGAGACCCCCAGGAAGCCCCAAGAGGCCCCCACGAGGCTTCCAAGCGGCCCCTGAGAGCTTCCCAAGAGGCCCACAAACTACCCCCAAGAGGCCCCCAAGAGCGCTCGTCGTCGTCGTCGTCGTCGTCGTCGTCGTCGTCGTCGTCGTCGTCGTCGTCGTCGTCGTCGTCGCCATTCAGGGTCGGCGGCACCGGCCGTAAGGCCTTCGCAATATGGGAGAACACGGGGAATCCTGTTGGTTGTGTCTATTTGTTTGTGTGTCCCAGGGCCCCTTCAGTTCCTTCTTCTGGGTGCGCCCCAGGGAAGCCCCCTGCGGGCCCCCAACGGACTCCTCCCCCTCCGCCCTCTCTCCCCCCCTCCCTCCCCCCCCCGCCCAGCGGCCCCCCGGCGGAGGAGGTGCCTCGCGCCGCGGGCCGCGCCGCTCGCGGGCTGAGGCGCCGCCCCTCCGTGCGCGCGTGCGCGCGCGTTGGGGCCCTCCGGTCTCCGAGGGGGGGGGCAAGGGCGGCCCTTCGGGGGGCCCGTGCTCGCGGTGAGGTTCGTGAAAGCTTGAGGAATCCTAAGGATTCCCGAGGGGATCTCAAGGATTCCCTAGGATTCCTCAGAGATTCCCTAGGGGTTCCCTGGGGATTCCCCAGGGATTCCCTGGGGATTCCCTCGGGATTCCTTAAGGATTCCCAAAGGATGCCCTAGGGATTCCCCAAGGATTCCCAAGGATTCCCTGGCCCCTCCGCTCGGGGGCGCGTGCTCGCGACGGGGCCCTCCGGTGGAGAGGGGCAGGCCCGTGGCCACCTCGGGTCGGACAGGGTGCCTCTCTGCGGGAGGAGCAGACAGGAAGACGGCAGGGGAAAAATTGCCCAGTGGCGATGTGTCGTGCTCTCTTTTGCTTCTTTTTTGTTGTCTGTTTTGCTATCGCTCGAAGGTTGATAGACCTCCTACCCTGACGCGTCGACCAGCGAAATGGCCGTTCTCGGTTCGCGAGAGGGCGTCGCGGCCGTCATTGTTGCGGGTCCAGGTTCGTCGGCTTCGGTCATGGGCCGTTTTCACTAAAGGGTGATTTGCTAAATGGAGGTTTGTCCACCGCCGAATTGCTAATTTTCTGCCCAGATCCACCTGTAGGAGGACATTCAGGGGGGGAAAAAACACACACAGACACAGTTCACCGTCGATTCCCCTGAGAATATGGGAAAATATGGGAAGTGGGGGGGGAAGACAAAAAACCCAGAAAGTATAGGAAAACATGGGGAATCCTGCTATTTGTGTGTGTATCTGCTTGTGTGTCCCAGGGCCCCTTCAGACATGCCCGACCCTTGGGCCAGCCGACGGACCGGGCCCGCCCGACGCGCTCGGCGCCGCGGGAAGCCCGGGCTCCCCCCCGTGCGGCGTGGGGGGCGGGGGCGGCACCGTCGCTGCCGGCAGGAGGCCTCGGCGGTGAGTCCACGGGGGGGAAGTGGGAGAGGCGGGGCAGGCCTCGGGTATAGCCAGGGCCCCAGGTGAGGGGACCCCGTCAGTTCTGGGGCCCCGGATCCCCCACAGTGGCCAGAACTCCGGAGGGAAAAACCGCACAGACACAATGAATCGTCGACCCCCCCGAAAACCTGTGAAACAGTGGGAATTAAGGGGGAGGACAAGAACCCAGAAAATATGAGGAAATATGGGGAATATTTTTATTTGTGTGTATTTACTTGTGTGTCCTGGGGCCCCTTCAGGTGAGGGGGCCCGGTCAGTTCTAGGGCCCCGGAGCCCCCACACTGGCCAGAGTCACTAAACGAGGTCTGCCGTAGCTGGTGTTTTTCGGGTGACGGCAGTTCTGGTTACAGTGCCGTTTTTGATACATGCTCCGCGTGCGGAACATGCACTAAAGATGCAGGGATTTAGCATCAAAAACGACGAGGGGCTCATGCACGAATTCACTCGTAAATTGTTCATGTATTAAAATGCTATGGTTTCAATCATCCTATGTATTAGAAGCTGCCCTGTACATGGGCCAGCATCACTAAACTCAGGAGGGAAAGAAACACACAGACACAATTAATCGACGACTCCAAGGAAAATATGCAAAAATATGGGAAGTGGTGGGGAAGACAAAAACCCAGAAAATATGGGAAAATATGGGGGATATTTTTATTTGTGTGTATTTATTTGTGTGTCCCAATTCCCCTTCATAAACCAGGTCTGCCGTATAGCTGGTGTTTTGCGGGTGGCGGTAGTTCCGGTTCGCGGAGCGGGGCGGCGGGGCGTCCCCCAGCACACATCACGAATCAGGAGGGAAAGAACACACACAGACACAATCAGTCGTCGACTCCCAGGAAAATGTGCAGAAATACGGGAAGTAGAGGGGGGGAAGACAAAAGCCCAACAAATGTAGGAAGATACGGGGAATCTTTTGATTCGTGTGTATTTCTTTGTGTGTTCTGGGGCCCCTTTCACTAAACCAGGTTCCACTAACCCAGTTCTGCCAACGCCCGAGAGGGGGGAAGTGAAAGGGGGCAGGTCTTTTCAGAAGGCTCAGAAGGCCTCGGGCTCTCTGAGAAGGCCTTTCAAGCCTTCGTCGAAGACGCAGAAAGCTCAGGAGGCCAGACATCCGGCGGCGGCGGGCGGGTCTGAGCCCACCAGGTCGTCAGGTGGGTCGGGTCTGGTCTGTCTGGTAGGTACGCCTGGTCTTTGTGGTGGGTGTTCAGAAAACAGGGGGGACTTGGATAATGAGGAGGAGGGGGGAGGGAGCGGTAGTTTGTCATACCTTTCCGTCGTCGTGGTCGTCTTAGTAGTGCTGTGACAACCATGGTGCCAGTGTCGTGTTATCGGAACTGGCTTGGGGCCCTCGGGTCTTTACTCTGGTGTTCCACGTCTTTTCCTTGGTCTTTCCTCTGGCGCTCCACGTGCATTTTAGCGCAGCCAGGGTCAAACAGTTTGTTCGTTTCATTTCTAGAGTCGGGAGCTGGCGGTCAACATGTCGCTCCGCCGGTTCTGGCTCACCTCGCTTCGGCGCGGCACGCTTGCCACGTCCCAGTCCCCAAGCGTCAACCTCCCGAGCTTTCTCCCAGCCTCCAGCCCCGCGGATCAGAGCGACGCGCTGCGCACAAGTGCCCGACCGTGAGCTCCCGTGTCTCTGGCTGGCACCTGTCGTCCGACCGACAGCTGTGCTCCGAACGTGATCCCGGATCCCTCCCAGAGCCCGTCCCGACTCGTGGGTTCTCGGGGGCGGAAGAGAGGGGGGTGATGACTAGGGGTGTGTGGACGTCATGGCGGGGGCCATGAGATCTCCCCAGATTCCGTGGCGTCTCTTCTTATTGCATTACGTCCTTGGCCCCCCCGCTGGGCCGCGCACATGCCGCGGGTCATGATCTGCACCGCCCCCTCTTGGACACCCCCCTCTTGGCCCCGGCATCGTTCGGACGTGTGCATTTTTCCTTCGGCGAGGACCATCGAGGAGCATCCTTGATCATTTGGCGAAAAAACCACGCACGAAACCGAAAAAAGCACACGGAATGGACGTCCGAGCGATGGCGAGTGGCCGCTCCCGAGGTTCGAGCCCCAGGAAGCTCCCGCGAGGCGCCCAGCAGCGCCTCCCGGGCGACGCCCGCCGTCGCCGCGTGGCAGCCGCCCCCGCGGCTCGCGGCCCCCCCCTCTGGCCCGAGACGCGGCGCGGCGGGGCGTCTGCTGCTCCGGGTGCGCGCGGCCCTCTTGGGGCCTCTGCGCGTCCGCTCTGGAAAAGCCCAAAAAGCGAGGAGGATAGTAGGGGAACAAACAGTGGCACAAACATAAAAACTCGGAGGTCCGCGCGGAGTTCTCGGATCGGCGCGGGGCACCCCCCGGCGGCGCCTCCGGCGCCGCCCCTGGCGCGCTCCGCGCGCCAGGGAGGGGGTCCAGCGCCGATCCGAGAAATCCGCGCGGGCCTCTGAGTTTTCATGTTTATGTCACTTGTTGTTCCCCTAGAGGAGCAACAGGAGCTTCTCGCTCCAAGCATCCTCAGAAAAATCACCTCCCCGGGGGCCCGCGACGGCAGAGGCAAACAATTTAGGAAACACCCCCCCTGTCCCCCAAACTCAAAGTTGGCACGCGCGGGGGAGACTGCGTTCGAGGCGCAGCTCCTCAGACCCACCCGCCAACTTTGAGCACTGGGGGGCGGGGGGGAGGCGTGGACGGGATGACTGTGGCACGAGTGCTTGCTATTTTTGTCCGAGGCCTGGAGGGAAGCGCAACACGTCAAGCAGGGCCAGCACTCCGCAGCGTCCAGCCGAGCCTCCCGCGCGCGGCGCCCCCCGGGCGCCCCGCGCGCCCCCGCCGCCGCGGAGAGCGCGGCCGCCGGCCGTGGCGCTGCCGGGGATCGGCTGCGCTCCGGCGGAGCCCGCCGGGGGGGCGCCGCGCCCGCGGCCCGCGCCCTGCGCCAGCAGTGGCGGAGCGCCCCGGCTCGCCTGCAGGCCCACCCAAGTACTCAATTGGCGCCCTCGAGGGCGGAGTTGATGCGCCCTTCGCGCTCCGCGGTGCGGCCCCGACTGCTCCTCGTCCTCCTCTGCTCCCCCGGGAGTCGGCGCGAGAGCGCGAAGTCGTTCGCACTTCGCGCTTCGCGCAGCGCAAGGCGCGAAGGTGGGAGTGGTATAGTTCTACGAACCGTTCCGTGGCTTGCACGAGATGTTCCTAGAGCATTTCTGGCCGGGATTGTGCGGTTGTTTTCCTGCATGCGTCGGGCCTCTACTCCAAGAATTTGGCTCTTTCTGCGCTATGCACATACGAACGTCTTGGTGGAAGGCCTATAGGAAAGCCGGGACGGTCGGTCCCTGCTCAGCCTGCGCACCTGCACCCGGCAGGCTGCGCGTGGCGGGAGAAGGAGGAGGAGGAGGAGGAGGAGGAGGAGGAGGAGGAGCAGGAGGAGAGGAGGAGGAGGCGGAGGAGGAGGAGGAGGAGGAGGAGGAGGAGGAGGAGGACACCGCCACGACACCACCACCACGAGCACGCGCGTGGCGCGGAGAGGGGGGGCACGGCACGCGCGTGGCGGGGAGAGGAGGCGCTACACTTCAGAGGAGGAGAACTGACCCATACCGCTGCTCATCTTAGCTGCCTTGATACGCCCGTCTATCTGGTTTTGAAGCGCAACGCGTGCTGCCGTGTTCAAGCCGTCAATGTTGACACGCTGCGTGTTGGCCCACGTTTTGGCGAACGTATCGCGCCAAACGTACGTTTTCAATCTGCTCGTTGAGCTCCGTGTCAACACGGTACGGGTTGCGTGTTGCGTACCCGGGTGGCTGAGCTGCCCTTCATTCGTTTCTTCCCTTTTGGGCCTCCTGGGAGGCCCTCATCGCCACCGCTGAATTCGCTTCGAAATGCTGGTCAGAACGCGCCCCAGGAGAGGTCCGGGGAGCAGCGGTATCGGTGCCTTTTGGTTTCCCCAACGCCACCACCACGCGGGCCACCCCCAGCGAGGAGGTCCACGTTGCCCCCCCCCACCCCGCGGGCTGGAATTTTTGTCGAAGGTGTCTCGAGCGGATCTCCGCAAAACTGGGGGGCCACGCCACCAGGAGAACCTCGCATGGCTCTCGCCCCTGGTGGTGGTGGTGCCGTCCCCTGAGATCCGACGTCGCGAAGCAAAGGAGACATCGCGGAGACATTCTATCGAAGCCCTCGACACAGTCTTTCTGCGGCTCTTCTCCAGCCAGATCGATCCGCCAGGGCCTCAGGGTCCCGACCACAGAGCGAGCATGCCCGCAGTGGAACGTGTGCGACGTCCGGATCGCAGGGTCTTCCTTTGCTGTCTGGGGTTCGCCTTGGAGGACAGCGCGGCGGCGAGCTCCTCCCCGTGATGGCGAAGATCTCGCCGGGGGAGCCGCAGGGCCCAGAGGAGGTCAAGCGAGGAAGCCTCGCCGTCGAGTCGCAAGGCCTCCACGACCGACGAACGGTGCACCCTGCCCCCGCGGACTGGATGTACCGAAACGCGATCCGACGGATACGCGATCCCAGGCATACCGCCTCGCGCGGGGCATCCCCTCAGAACCGGGGTCGCGGCCCAGAGCTCCCGGCCGCGAGGCCGTGGTCGCGGGTGTGGCCCCCGCCCGAGAGGCCTGGCGGAGCTCAAGCGAGGCAGCGCCGCCCTCGGCGAGCCGCGCGGCCTGGCCGACCTCAAGCGGGGGAGCCTCGCCGTGCCTCGGCCCAGCACCCTGCAGCCGCAGCAGGCCACGCCCGAGTCGCCGGGGGCCGCGGCGGGCTTCCAGGGCTCCGTGGGGCCAGAACGGGTCCGCAACACGTAAGAGGGACCTTTCGCCGGAGCGACCTCTGGTGCGGGCACACCTCGGGGGTGGACAGACCTCCTTCCCTGACACGTCGATGAGTGAATTGGCCGTTGTCGGTTCTCGAGAGGGCGCCGCGGCCGTTGTTTTCCAGGCTTGCGCCCTCCAGGTTTGGGCCCGAAGGTCGTTTTCACTAAACCACGTTTTACTAAAGGGGGGTCTGTTGACCTTTCGCCGGACTGACCTTTCGCCAGCGGGCACACCGGGGCCCCCAGATGGCACAGCGCGGTGCGATGGCAGCGGCTGGCGCGCTCGGGTCTGGCGCCCCCGGCGTCGCCCGAACGCCGCGCGAACAGAGGTCACTCCTGCCAAGGGTCACTCCGTCGTGAAGCCGAACGGGGGCGAAGCCAATCGGGACGGTGATCGGCAGCGGCTGCTGCCCTTGCGGGCGCCGGGAGCAACCGAGTCGACTGCGCCGACATTCGCGCGTCAGCTGCCCGCGCGAGGTCGCCCTCTTCTCCGCGCGGTGTGCCACGCCGGCGGCCTGCGCAAGCCGCGGCGTAAGGTCACCATATCTTCTCGCGCAAGACCTGCTTGTTTTCGCTACTTGTGCAGGGGGCGATGTCAGTTTAGCTGCGAGCGTCCTCCTCTTGTGGCGGGCTCGCCTGCCCAATAGCGGCCGCTGTTACTTTTCGTGCTGTTGGGCATTGGTTCCATTAGTGCTGCCTCCCTTTCGGGTGTGCCAAAGTGGCGCCACCTACAGTGGAGGCCCATGCCAAGAAACACCCTGCTTGCCTCCAGGGTGCCCTGGGCTTCTTGGGTTCCGATGGTTTTGCTTTGGAAAGCGCGACGCTCCCACACCAAAAATCAACGGACCTCCTGGGGTCGGTCTCAGGGCTGGAAGTCTTGTGGACGGTTTCTTGTGGACTGACCTCCACGGTATGCACCAGCATGAGGGTCGGCCAAGCCCATGCAGGACATAGAGTCCTCTTACACTCCTGCATCACCGAAGGGGCCCAGGATCCTCGCGTGTCCACCTGGCTTGAAAGATATCCCACCCAGAGCTGGGGTCGAGGAGCTCCAGTCGCGACTTGTTTGTTCACGCCCTCGGATGATGATAGTCAGGCATAGCCAGGACCCCAGGTGAGGGGACCCGGTTCGTAGTAGTAGGCCCCCGGAGCCTCGCAATCGGCCAGGATCACTAGACCAGGTCTGCCGTGGCTGGTGTTTTTTCGGGTGACGGCAGTCCCGGTTAGTGGAACGGGGCGGGGTGGGGCGTCCCCCAGTATTCGGGGGCGGAAAAGAGGGGGGTGATGACTAGGGGGGGGTGGATACCATGGCGGGGGCCATGATATTTCCCCAGATCTCATGGCGCCTCTTCTTATTTCATTACGTCCCTGGCCCCCCCGCTGGGCCGCGCACATGCCGCCGGTCATGATTTGCACCCCCCCCCTCTTGGACACCCCCCTCTTGGCCGCTCCCGATGGGGCGTCCCCCAACACACATCATCAAACCAGGCCCCACTATAGACCCAGTTCTGCCCACGCCCGATAAATAGGACGGGCGTGTTCGGCAGGCTCGCGCCGCGTGGACCTGGCGGCGACGCCGACGGTCGTCGCGGCGTGAGGCTTCCGTCGTGATATCCCCTGGCCCCGGCCCGGCCAGTGGGCTGCCGGAGCAGGGCCTCCGGCAGGCTCTGGGGCAGCGGCCTGCGCAGGCCGGGGAGTCACCACCCACCGAACCACCCCAACCCAACCCGAAGGCTCAGATTTACCCTCGATTTCTAGTGTGGGGGGGGTCCGGGAACATCGACAAAAACACATATGGAACCCATACCCCCCCCAACCCGAAATTCGGGTCTTCGGGTTGGGTTGAGGTGGTCTGGTAGGTAGTCAGGGAGCTGGGGAGCAATTCGATGGCATCCTCCCGAGGCTGGGCTGCCTCGCCGGCTGCCAGCTTCGCCTCCAGCAGGGGCAGCTGGAGGCTCGACGACGACGACGACGACGACGACGACGACGACGACGACGACGACGACGACGACGTCCTCGTCGCCGTTCACGTCCTCGTCCTCGTCACAGTCGTGTCGTCGGCGTGGCAGAGTCGACGTGGTCTCGGGCGTGTGCAGTGTGTCCGGCGCCAGGTAAAGCAGGAAAAGAGCCAGGGCGCCTCCTTCCCAACAGAACCTGGCCCCAGAGGCTCGCCCCAGGATGCTATTAGGTGGTGTGTATGCCATTATCAACGCTGTCTTGGGCATTATGTTGTTGATCAAGATCGTCGCACCCCATAATTTGGAGATCCACTTGCTTTTCTCTCGCCCGAAATGGAGGCACGCCTCGGCCCGAGGTGTGGCGAAGGGGTCCCCAGACCTCGGACGCGGAGCCGCCTCTGGGAGCTCGCGTATGTCCTCGGCGGCAGCTCTCCCCGGCGGCGCGCGGCCGCAGGGGCTGCCCCCCTGGACACTCCTGCTCCCCACTTCTGGGCCCTCGCCCCTGACGTTGGGAGCTCGCGTATGTCCTCGGCTGCAGCTCTCCTCGGCGTCGCGCGGCCGCAGGGGCTGCCCCCGGACACTCCTGCTCCCCACTTGGTCGGGAGCCTTGAGACGGGGGTCAGTGCATACGGGGATCAGCCAGGGCGCCGGATCCTGCAGGATCCTGCGAAGACCCCCTCTGGCTGACCCGGGTTGGCGAGCCGCTCGTGGCCGCGAGGCGGCCGCGCACATTGGTTGACCCGGGTTTGTGAAGCCCTGCGTTGCAGTTGTTTTTCCTGCATTGCAGTTTTTCGGTTTCCTGCTGACCCGGGTCTGCATTGACCAGGGTCAGAAGATCCCCGACTTGGGCCCTCGCCCCATGCGCAGTGGTGGCCCCCAGATTTGTGTGTCGCCCCTTCCGTGGCCATCCTGGTTTCAAGGCTGGCCAAAAGGCCCCCCGCGGCGCCGCCAGCTGCCCGCTGCCCGCGGGCCGCCCTCGGGCAGCGGGGCGCCGCGGTGAGACCGCCGGCCGCGGCCCGCCCCGCCTGGCGCCGGCCTGTGGCGGGTCGGCGTCGGCTGTGCGGCAGCTGCCCGCCGCGGCTCCCGCTGCGGCGTGCGCGGGCGTCCCGCACGACCCGCGGGGCGGGCCCGCGAGCTCGGGGCTGGAGCCCGGGCGCCCTCTTCGTCGGCCGCTGCCTGGCCGCGTGCCTGCCCGCTCGCGGTGGCGCGTCCGCGGCCTCTTCGTCTCGAGGTCCGGGCGCGGCGCGGGGTCAGCCCGCCCGGCGGGCGCGAGGGGTGGCCCCGAGCTATTGGGGGCTGCCCGGACTCGGGTCAAGACCCTGGACATCGTCGAGAGCCAGGTGTGCAGCAGCTTCGGCGGCGATCCGAGCTGCCGATGGCAACAGCGAGTTCTGCTTGTACCGTCCCCTGCCCCTGGCCACGGGCTGGCCGTCACCCCAGATGGCGAGATCCATCCCTTGAAATTGGACGAACTCAGAGTGGTCGCCGTGGCGGCCCCCTTCCCTGCCCGGGTGCGTGGGCAGCTCTACGCGTTCGGCAACCTTTCGGACGCCGACCTGAACAACATGCGCCACGACGGGCGAAGGTGCTGGGCTTCCCAGCCCTTGCCTCGCAGCTAGGGGTCGGCGTCCCGCTGTGGATCGTGGCCGACCCCTCGAGCGACCACTTCGGCGAGGAGATGGGCATCGAGCTGATCACCTCGGCCGAGAGGTTCGTCGCCCGCGACGCGGTGGCGGTGGTGATGTTCTCCGAGGTCGAGGGCTGGGTGGCCGCCGAGAACGTGCAGACTGCGGGTGGGTTCGATTAGAAGAGGGAGAAGAGGTCGGGGCTTGGGTGGGCCCTTAGGTGCTCTCTCAATTTGGATCCCGACTGGCCACGGCTTCCCTCGGCGAGGCGGCCAATTCGCTCTGCAACGCCACGATCCAGGGCTGGCCCTTCAAGGGCCCCAAGGCCTTCGAGGAGTTCCTCGCCACCGTGGTCTCGTCTGGGCAGTCGTTAGCATCCTGCTGGGGCTACTGGGCGTCCCAGTCTGGGTCTTGCATGGCAGCGCTGTCTGCCAGGAGCTCAAGAACATCGTGGAGGTGTTGCGCTGTGCGCTGATCTTTGGTAGCTTGGACATCTCGAGCCAGGCCTCCTTCGAGCTCCTGTGCCGGAGGGCGCTCCAGATCCAAGGCGGTGAAGCGTTGCCCTCGTCATCCCTCACTCGAGGGCTTGGAGTTGATGGCAACGAGCCGCCTCGATGAGACGGGCGGGGGGGGTGACCGCGAAGTTCGATGCTTGGGCGGCCGGGATTCAGAAGGCGCGAAGCACGGTCTTCAAGCAGGAGGGGGTGCACCGGGAGGAGGCAGACAAGGACAATAAGTACCGCGGTGAGCAGAGGGGCGAGCCCCGCGGCCCCCAAGCCAAGGCCGCGCCGAAGGGCAAGGGCAAGGCCTCTGGGGGGGGCGGCGCTGCACAGCAAGCCAGGCGCATCGGTGCCCTCCCCGGCCGCGGCCCCATGTCCACCGCCATGGGCCGAGGCGGCCGCCCCGTCGTGGTTCTTCTGCGCGGGGCCCACCACCGCTGTTCCCGCTTCCCGTCGCGGGCGCCTTCTACGTGCAGCCGCGGCGTGGTGGGCGTACCGCTATGCGCCTCGGTATAAGGCGCAGCGCGCGGCTGCTGCTGGTCGCCGCTCGGCCCTGGCCGCGGCGACGATCTCGACCCTGAATGGGGCGGCCGCCGCGCGCGCTGCAGGGAGGGGCGCTGAGCTCGGCCCCCCCGGCGAACGCAGGGCGCCGGCATCGCTCAAGAGTCAGCGCGCAGGTGCATCCGCCGCCGAATTGCGGCCTTCGGTGTTCTGTCGCTGGAGCCCTCCAGGAGCTCCTCAAGACCTGGGATGCCAACGGCGGCCTCGACGCATCCATCCACCACCGCGGTCGATTTTGGTTCGAGCCGCCTCAACATTCTGCCCAAGGAACCCTCTGCCACTCCGCTGGGCGAGGTGGCCCCTCGAAGCGTCAGGGACGTGCTCGAGAATTTTGACGCGACCGTCGTCCGCCCGCTGTCGGGGTTACCCGAGGACGAGCCGCTGGTGCAGCCGTGCTGTGACCCGCTGCTTGGCCCGCGTCGTCGGGGCGCCCGCCCTGCGTCGGTGGCCTTCCAGAGGGCCCTCGCTGACCGCGGCCTTGTCGGGGCCCGTGCTCGGCGAAAGTCATGCATCTCGTCGGCATTCTTCGCGCGCAAGAAGAATAGGGGCCAGCGAATGGTGTTCGACGTGCGGCAGCCCAACCAGCTGCAGCGGCTCCGTCATCCGGCGAGTCGCTGGCGGCGTTCGACCTTGTGGGCGCCGCCGACCTCGGCCAGGATGACCTCGACATCGCCACGTCGGGGGGTGACCTCGTTGCCGCCGGCTCGGTGGACCTGGGCGGCGCCTTCTATCAGTTCCGCCGCCCAGGCCTCATGGATGTGCTTTGACTTCGAGCTGGCCGCAGGGGGCTGGGCCTGTCTCGGCTCTGCGATGAGGAGCTCGGCCGCTTCGTCGACGGTGCCCCGGCACCCTGGTCTGGCCGCGCTCTGGGGATGGTCTTGGGCTTTCTGGATTTGCTGGGAGGTCGACGCCGCGGCGGCGACCTTAGGACTCGCGGTGCCTTGACAAGGGCGCGCCCCCTTCTGTTCTGGCTGACCCCCGCGAGCTTGACCGCCACCTCGAAGCCGAGGCCGACGGGCTGGACAGGGGGGGCTCCGCTGGCACGAGCCGCGGCACGCCGCGGCCTCTCATGGCACCCTCGGCCTCGAGTTTGACGGGGGGCGCGGGCGCTTCCGACGCGCCTCTTGTCGGGCAGGGCGCCTCTACCTAGGGTTGCATGGGGCGCCGCGCAGGCCGAGGCTCGCTCGCTCGTGCGTCAGGAAGCTGTTGGGCCACATCCTGCCTCGAGCCTGGCCCGATGGAGGGCGCCCCCCGCCTGCCGACCAGCGCTGTGGCGAAGCTCCGCTGCGCAGCGAGGCTCGCGTTCCTCGGCCGGATCGACCCGCGGCGGCCGCCTGCCCCAGTCTCCCGCGCCGCGGCCAGCGCGATGTTGGGGCGCGCGACCTGCGACGCGGAGCTCCTCGGGCACGTGGTCTTGGACGCCTCCTCCTGCTGGCGAGAGCGGCGGCGCTTCGGCCTGGTCGAGCCCGCGGGGGGGCCCGATAACGGCGACCCTTGCCTGGGCCGCGCCGCCGGGCCAGCCGGCGCCCCCGACGTCCAGGGCGACGGCGCCGACGAGGCGAGCGCGCGGCGCCCGCGGCGCCAGGCGCGCGCTCGCCGACGGCGCCGGGAGATGGAGGTAGCCCGTCCGCGATCCGAGCGGCCGCCCGAGCTGGCGGGCCCAGCGAGGCGGTCCGAGGCCTTCCGCGGGGCGCGGCGCCACCCTGGCCGCATCCGCAGCCTGAAGGCGCCGCGGCGCTTGGCCGCTGCCGCGGGGCCGAGCTGCTGAGCCCCTCGGACAACTTCTCACGCGTCCTGTCGCGCAAGAAAGGGGGGGCCAGCAGTCGCGAGTTGCTCGCGTTGTCGCCGTGCGGGCGCGAGGCAGCTTGGCGCTGAGATCGCGCGGCGGATTTGCCCGAAAGGCAGTCTCGGCGGCACCGACTGGGGCAGCCGGGCCGCAGACCGCAACGAGCTGTAGCGGGGCTGGATCCGCGGCGCGGGCTCTCGAGCCCCGCCCTCCGCCCGCCAGCGGGCGATCGCCGATCCTGGGGGCGCGTGTCCAGGCGCCCCGCTCGGCGCCCGCCATGCCCGAGCCCGCGTCCGCGGCGCGGCCTGCCCTCCCAGGCCGTCGAGCCACCTGGGCTCGGAGGGAAGCTTATCGATTGCACGAGATAGCGGGGCGAGGCCACAACGCGCGGCGTCGTTCTCTCCACCGATCCTGTTGAGTCGTTCCGTCAATCCTGTTCTTCCTCCGTGCCCTCGTCTTACATCGGGTCATCAAGCTCGTCGACCAGTCATCGCTGACCGATTGGGTCACGCTCATCACGCATC